AATCTACTGTAGTTGTTGAAATTGGCAAAACTGATCCGTGATGTTGTAATGTTTTGATGGATAATGGGAACTGTATGGTGTTAAAGTGGTTTTAAGGTTACTTCACACGATGAACGTGCGTTTTAGTCTATTGGACATTGCTCAATGAATTTTAGGTGTAACTTTACCAAATTTTCAGTGAAGAAAGCCAGGAAAATGCTGATTTCGAAAATTTTCTTTTGATGGGTGTTCTGTTTAAACATTTTCAGTATTGGCTGACTGAGTAAATATGTAGGTACCTTCATAAAAAATCAAAATATGTTTATATCGCAATTCAAATCTTCTTAGGCATGGTAAAAAAAACGTGTGCGGAAAATTTCTCTTCTTTAGTGGTTTTTCTGATATTCCCTGATTCTTGGATTTGTCACTGATAATTCACGAAGTTGTCAAAGAAAACGTCATATCAGAAAAACCATTGAAGAAGAGAAATTTTCCGCACACGTTTTTTTTTACCGTACCTATGAAGATTCAAATCGATATATGTAGACAAACGTTGAGGTAAACTATAAATATATTTTGATTTTTTATGGGATACTTATGTATTTATTTTGTCAGCCAATACTGGACATGTTTAAACAGAACACCCATCAAATGAAGATTTTCGAAATCAGCATTTCATTGGCTTTCTTCACTAAAAATTTGGTAAAGATACACCTAAAATTCGTTGCGCCATGTTCAATAGACTAAAACGCACGTTCATCATGTGAAGTAAGCTTAAATAACCCCAAGAGTTGCTGAAATAACTTAATATTTTAATGTCAGTGTGCAATATGAGTGTATGCTCGCCTTGTATTTGGTTGCAAAGCATAGAACAACAACCACAAGCATTATTGTTGGCAAGTTTAACTAGAACCGTGATTTTGCTATTCAAGGTAATTGACATGTGCACGCCCTGGTCATTAGAAACACGCCCAAGACCTAAAATCCTAGCTAAGACCCTGGCTGTTTATAATGCCCCCCACATGAAATTAGTTTTTCACTTTGAGGATTTTTTTATACTTTTATTTCATACTCTGAAACAAAAGTATGAAGCTGGTAACAGATTAGTGAGTTACATATGACAAGTTTTATTCCAAGTATACACTTGTTGAAAAGGTAGTGTAACATGCTAGCTTTTGAACAAGTGTGCTTGTCTTTGAAAAAATTGGCAAGGAAAATTTGACAAAGCAATTTGAGTCCTTGGGGCTTGGACACAGTTGGCTTAATAGCGATCTATTGTTGTGGATAGCTGTCTGGCGGCAAGAAAGACAAAGACTGTCAAGACTTGTTATAGAAAATTTGTTGTACATAAGACAACCTCGGCAAAGTTGATCGTACTAAAACTACTTGTTCAGTTTGATGGTGAATTGAATATATAGAAAGCGATACTTTATAGTAAAACATTAAAAATACGGAATATAAACGGAACACCTACCTATCTCGACAAACGATCCAGTGCTGAAATACATTAACATTCGACAAGGGCCACAAGGCGAAAAACCCAACGATATCTGCCAAACCAGTTACAACCAGCAACTACAGTGTCCCATAAACGTTGAAAAAACACAAATATTTCTCGTAGTCTTGTATTTCAGTTAAATTTTCATCAAATATTTGCAAAAATTGCAAAAGAGAAGCACACGTGCGCTGTATTTTGACATTTTATAAAATTTCAAAAGTGCGCGGGCGGAGAATCCGCCTTAGGCTAGCGGTTTGCTAATCCTGACTTCTCAGTACTTTATCTTGGGACCGTCATTTCTTTAGTATTTACCGTCGTTTGCGTCCACGAATGAACAATCGCAGATAAAAACACTATCATTTTTATAACGTGAAACTTTAATGTTTGAAACAAGTATTGTTGCGCGCGGATTGTCGTTAATTTAACATTTATCCCGCGTCAAGGCCACCTTTTGTTTGCCGCCAAAACCATAGAAGTATTTTTCTACACAAGTTTTCAATCTTTTGTATACTTTTTTATTGCATGCGGAAATTGCTACCATTTTTGGCCCAAATGTGGTAGCAATTTCCGCAACGCAATACAAAAGTATACAAAATTTGCGAACTTTGCAAGCCTATATTTTTCCGCATTCAGTACAACATTTCGAAACCAAACTTTGTAATTTTACTAATTTTAGTATACTCTTTCTAGCTATGGTTATTTATTTGCATCTCCTTGCCTAATTTTAAAATTAGTCTATAATTCGAATTGTCTATTGTGAGGTAGACTTGCCCACAAGGACAAACCGCGAGAAGAAGTGACTGGTCTGTTGTGACGTTGCGATATCGCGAATTAACATGCACGTCTCCCTATGAATGTAAAACGCACCGTTTGTTAAATTTCTTTATGACCCGTGACCAGAATTGTCGCTTTAATAACCATTCATTTCTGACTTGTGAAACATTTACTTGTTTATTTCTTTGTTTTAATTGAACTTTCAATTGCCAATTTGGCTATCTGAAATACATGATGAACAACAGGACGAAAAAGTGACAAATGTATTAAAGGTAAAGTCAATTTAATTTATTTATTTATAAGGAAAGCTATTAATTTAAGGAAAATACAAACGTAAAAACGGCTCAATGAGCCAGTTATGTTAGTGACCTGTTGGCTGTTGCAGAACAATTCCAAAACATCAACTCATATTCATGCATGAAACAAGATTAGACATTTACAAATAAAATGATTAATTATATCGTAATTTAAATCATATAGGCAGCGCGCGCAATACAGCTAGGCGTGCCTAAATTAAATATTCCGAACTTAACTTTATCTTGAAAACTATCGAAATATTTTAAAAACTTATTATATTGGCCCGGGCTGCTTGCGTTTAAATAATATAAATTCGGTGGCTATTATGCATTGCCATTTTTGGTTTCTATATTCCGAACGGGCTTTCGCGGGAAGAAAATAGCCTTGTTAGATCTGGGTATCTGACCATTCAGATATCAAAGGTTCTGACTTCCGTCTTAACCCATCATTGAGTGAAAGCACTCTTCCCTTGAAGAAAAAATCGTCTGGCGTTAGACAGAGTAAAATAATAAACCAGGACGCATTGCCACTTAAAGGGTTATAACCATCATTAACTAAGGGGCTGTTTATACATGATGGAAGGTGAGATGATTTTGATGTATTGAAATAAGTCAGTACGCTAAGCGAAAGTTCAAATGTTGGTTAACAGAACTCAAATGTTGTAGAGAAAATCTTGCAGTTCAAGACGATTATTATTCCTGCTTGAACAACATTTTACAGTTAACTATATCTCTAGAAAATAATGAAGTAGCCTGCGTAGCAGGCGGTATTCGCGGGCACGAGAGAATGGGAAGCTGTATCCATGTTTATTTTTTGTGCTAGACAAAGTATGTTGAGTCTTTATTAATCAATACTCGAAATACACATCCGAGTTTACATGGAATTATAAGAATATAGTCTATTTTACATTAATTATTCACATCAATAATTTAATAAAACTAGTAAAATTCTACACTATTGTTAAAAATTATTATAAAATGTATCATACACTAGATAAAATTGAAAAGACATCTATTTACAAAACATTTTTTAAATCTTTCAGTTCTTACTAAGGGCAGCTCAAAGTCATGTCCCCTTTGCCTTAAAGTTCGATTTAATTTATTTGCGAAAAGTTCTCTTGGTGCATTATTTTCATCATCTAATATTTTTTCCATAATCTTTTGTCTCTCTTATTAATTGTTTCTCTAAAATTAGATTTCTCTGTTACATACCCATTACGGTATGCACGATTTATAAACTTATCAATCTGACTAATGTATTTAGTGTAAGCTGCTCCTCCACAAAGTTCAGTTCCGAAAGTGAATAATGACATTATTAAACTCTGGAAGAGAAGTTCTAACTGCTTTGTTGTAAAACCATAATATTTACACACGCGTAAAATGTACATTAGTCCACTCACTTTTTTAAGCATCTCTTCGAAGTGTATGTCCCAATTTTCCGGTATTTCCTCAAGGGTAATTCCAAGTATCTTGAGCCATGTTTTCCGTTTGATGGACGGAATGCAACTGGGTAGAGGTGTAGATGTTCTCCCACGAACAATAATTTCGTATGTTTTATTCATATTCAACACCATTCGATTTTCATCCGACCATAACTTCATATTTTCTACCTCTTCTGCACCTGTATCATCCTCATCATAGCCCGGTGCTTCTATTGTTATATCATCAGCAAATTTACAGAGTTCATTGATTGGATTGACTGGTTTAATGTCATTTACCATTATTGAAAATAGTATTGGGCCTAGAACAGTCCCCTGAGGCACGCCACGTTTAATCTTCAAGAACTCGGTTGTGATACCATCAACTGTTACTCTCTGTTTGCGATCTTTTAAGAAATCTATCATCCAATTTATGATGTACGGGTTAAAAGGCAATTTCTTAACTTTTCAGAATAGTATGTCGTGTGGAACACTGTCAAAAGCCTTGCTAAAGTCAAATGACTTGAGTTGATAACATTTTCTTTTGGTATTGGAACTATATTCGCTCTCTTCCATATTTCAGGGACTTTTCCAACTTTCAGAGATACGTTAAATATTTTTGTTATAGCTGGAGCTAATTCAGCTGCGAATGTCTTCCAGAACCAATGTGGTAGATCGTCCGGGCCAGTGATGAACGCTTCTGTTTTCTTAGAAAGTTATAGACAATATCGACAGAAAGAAACGGAATTCTAGTTCCTTAGTCTGTAATTTCTAGTAACTAAGGGTTTGAATAATTAGGGTCAGTGTTAATAGTTTCATTTATAACATTCGGATCAATCAGAGAGCTAATAGGTGCAAAATTTTTCTCTTTCCTGCCAGTAATGTTATTAACATTATTCCACCATTTCTTTGTTCCAGTTTTATGATTTTGGTTCTCATTTTGAACAGCATTAAGTTGATTGGCGCGAATTAGTGTGTTAATTTGATTTTGTAGACGAAAAGTAGATTCTTCATCACCTATGCCTATAGCTTTCTTCCTTTTTTTTCAACAATACGATAGGGGACATAAATGGTGGATCGCGTGACGAGGTTCGGACTTTTATCAGTGGAAAATTGTTCTCAAATCTTGGCCAGAAACTTTCTTAAAGTTGTTTAACCATTTCATGAGGGGCCTGGTCATATATTGTTATCTTGGACCAGTCCACATTCTCTAGTTCTCTTAACATGTTTAATTTTCTATGTTCTCTCACATCCTTAAAGAATGAATTTGTTCTTTTTGCTTTTATAATGTTTTTCGAATATGCAATAATCATATTATGATCAGTTCTTACCAAACTTTTCTTAACTTTTATTTCCTTCCAGTAGTGAAGAGCATTTGTGACAAAAACATCTAAGATATTGTTACCTCTTGTAGATGATCTAACCTGCTGTGCAAAAGATAATTGATTAAGTAGGTCGCGAATATTCAATCTGTTTATATCTCCAGTAATAATTATTTTCGTATTAGGGTTTTCCGATAATAACTGCTCGCATGAGTCCATTAGGAATTCTATTAAATCGTCTGCATTATAATTGTGGTCGGGAGGATGGTATACAGCTGCAACATTAAAACTGGAGTTTTCAGTTGTAAGGCATTCAAACGGGTTATTCATATTTGGTATTTTTTGCATTCTCCAATCTTTTCTACAAAGGATTGCCACTCCACCACCACAGGCACCTAATCTATCTTTTCTGATGATGCAGAACTCAGGTGGGCAAATTAGAGAACTGGCTATAATTGCATTTAGCCATGTTTCTGAAATACAGCAAACACACTGCAAAAAATTATGTGTAAATTTACTCAAAAATATCGGTAAAATTTGCATCCACAGCAACACATTTATATGTGTAAATTTACTCAAAAATATCGGTAAATTTACACATTGGTTGTGTAAACATACACAAAAATATCGGTAAGTTTACACAAGTGAAATGCATCCACAGCAACACATAATTTTGTGTAAAATTGCACTTTACACATTGATTGTGTAAACATTACACAAAAATATCGGTAAATTTACACAAAAATATCGGTAAATTTACACAACTAAAATGCATCCACAGCAACACATAATTTTGTGTAAAATTGCACTTTACACATTGGTTGTGTAAATGCTACACAAAAATAACGGTAAATTGCTGCAACTGAAATGCATCTAGAACTACACTTCTTTTTGTGTAAAATTATTTGTAAATTCTACACATCTTGTAGAAATCTCATCCATTCTACACATCTCAAAAATATAATTAGTAAACAGCTAACATATTAAAATGAAACAGTCACAGAAAATGGTTTAAAAATAATATATTCACTTAATAGTTAAACACATCACACATGTTCACCAAAGTTAAATCTTGTCAATTATTATAATGTTGAACCTTGCTACATATTCAAAATATACCATTATCAAAGGAATTGGTCTTGCATTCCGTGATTTCAAGTTCAAGTCACTTCAAAACTTAGTTATATTAAACATTAAGATAAACATGAAAAGTTATATTATTATAAATATATACCATACTGTATATTGTCTATATATGCTCATTTTCATTTTACCATAAATTGTTGTCCCTTTGTAACTCTTAGAAATTTGCCTGAAGTAATGTTTTCACTGCACATTATAGCACTGTTGAATTCCCACGCAGACCTACAAAACAAAATGAACAGATTTTTTTAGAATAAAGCCAGGGGCATTAATTAGTGGGCTAACCAAACAATCCACTTATGACCCTTGTAAACTTGTTACAGTAACTTAAGGAGGGCGCAACAATTTGTGGGGTGTTAACTGGATATTACACTAGGCCGGACACCGGCTACAAAACTTGTGGTGTATGGCATATTTAGGGACAGCTCATTAATAATGGGAGGGGGTCTGTGGGTGATAAATACCAAATATTGATATTTATATAATAGATATAATATTGAATAGAGCCACCCCAATCGCAAGACCTTTATTTTCAAGACGCCCCACCTTCATCTAGAAAACTTAGGACCCACCCCCCTTCAACATTTAGTTTGTTACATTTTTTGTTGTAAATAAGTAATGGGACAAGTACTGGGGACCAATATTCAAAATGGTTGTTGTTTATTCCTACTGTATTCCTATGGTGAACTGCATATGCGAAAGGTTTTATTATATTTTGACAATGAATAGGAAAATATTAAAAAATGTACTGTCACATATTTTTCAGTTTGAGGCCGCCCCCAATTCAGGCAAAAATAGTTGAAGACGCCCCCCTTTTCTAACCCACCACCCCCCTCCCATTATTAATGACCGGTCCCTAAGCTGCATTTTGCCACAACTTTATTGTTTTACTCCATCTAATGTCAGATGATTTTACTTGTCAGTGCTGTCATTTGTCAGTGCAGCACTCCTCTCACATACAACTGAGGTGAAATCATAACCATACATGAATGTATGAACGTTTTCTGGAATGAGCCAGTGGCATATTAATTAAATCAGAAATACCAACAAGCATTGCCCTTACATTTTAGAAAGCATCTAAAGGATTTTGCTGCTGAAAAATTCCTTATCACCTTGTAAACTCCATCTGATCCTACATAATGAATGATTACACATAAATTAGTTATTTGTTTTCGTAGGAAAAATTTGATTCACTATGGTTCCACCCATAGACCAAGTGATTCCTGGCTAGTACATGCTAACCCAGAAATCATGGTCCCACAGGCAAAATTTCAAATTCTAACCCATTAAGTTGCATTGCAGTAATTGCACCCTAAATACAATAAATTGTACTCCTGTCTAATGTCAGACAATTTTATTTGTGAGTGGGAGAGTGCTGGGGCCGGTTGTACGAAGGCCGGATAGCGCTATCCACCGGATAGTGATTTTTCAACCTTTGAAAAAATGCTTGAAAAACTGTGAACCTACGGATATAAAGGACATAAGAAGTATAAAAAAACATTTTGCTTGTATAAATACTAAACTTTAATACCAGTTACACCAATCAACGACTGATTTAACAAAACTTGAGAAAATCATTATCCGGTGGATAGCACTACCCAGCCTTCGTACAACCAGCCCCTGGTGGTTAATGGGTTAATCTGGCCATGTGTCAGTCTAGTGACACATTAAATTGCATTGTGCCTTATGTGCCATACTTCCTTATTTTATTAATGTCTTTAACCCATTAAGTGCTAGCACTCTCCTCTTGACGAGTAAAATTGTTTGGCGTTAGACAGAGTAAAATAATAAAGTGGGGCGCATCAGGGCGCAATGCGACTCAGTGGGTTAATGCCAGATTATTGTACTCTGTCTAACGCGAGACAATTTTACTCATCAAGACTCAAGTGGAGATTGCTGGTGCCTAATGTGTTAATGGTCATTTATAAGATAGATCATAATTCAATCTAGCTTTGGATGCATGCACATTGCCTTTTTATCACATTTCTGGTAGACAATGTTGAATGAACAAAATCCACTATTCATAATTGATACTTTTGAGTGCAGAATGGAAGGATTTGCCTTGGGGCGAGTTCTTGCCACTGTCGTCTGGTGCTTCCCACCGACTTCTACTCATTCTAATGGTAATCATCTAAGTCAAGGTTCTGGGATAAAATCTACCTATGTACATAAATGAAAATTGAAAATCCATTCTCTATTATCACACTCACCATGTAGTAATTTTAAGCCGCTTTCCCTTGTCTGTAAGTTGGCTGTAATAGGTATGCTGGCAATGAGAATACAAGATGTCAGCACTTGTACAAAAATACTAGTTTTATGCAGTTGTAAGATTGCTTTTATAGAGTCTGCAGTATCTATCCAATCATTTAGATCCATTTAATTATAAATTGCTTTTACGGCCTTTTTAAATATGATCCCGGCTAGACATTTGGCATGATCCCGCTTGCAATATAAACTAACTATATAGAGTGTTTACAGTAAAATGAATGATTCTACCTTTATCTGGCCCAGGCGGGATCCCATTATTGGGTCATTCCAGAAAAGATCCATACTCCCCCCATGGAGGAAATTTCTGCCATCCGGAGGGGGAGGGGAGAAAAAATTGTTTCTGATAATAGTAAATGTATTAGGACATCCGAAAGGAGTAGGGGGGTTAACTTCCTATTTCCTCCGTGGGGGTGGTATGGATGTTTTCTGGAATGACCCATTTGTTGCCGAGATGAGATCCCACAGTCTGCCAAGATGAGAAATTCTAATACAAGCACTCTATCATCCCTGCCAGGCGGGGTGTATTCCATCTATATATAAAACACACCATCCTGTTTTGCCTAGCCAAGTTTCTCAGCAAGGTTGGATTAAAACCTCCAGTTCAGCCATGCCATAATTTGTCACATAAACAGGCACACACAGTATATAAACTCTATAGAAGGCTTTATTTTACTTGTCGAGGGGAGAGAGCTGCCACTTAATGGCTTGAAAGACCTTGGAAATCCAGGGAAGGGGGATTAAAAAAACAGAATGCACAATTAAATACAAAATTCAATCCATGTCAACATAATTTAATGCTGGTACATGCTGCTATTAAAACCAACAAATAGCACTGAACTGATAATCTTAATCAATTCTATATACTGTATTGGGTTAACAATTTTTTGATTCACATAGATAACATTGTGACTTCCTCAAGTTGAATACTCTCAAATAATTTTTAGGTTTTGGCTTTTATTAATAGGGATGTTCACATATTGTTTTATACTATGTCTATGTGACTTTAAATGTGCTTTTGCCAAACAAGTGCAACCCAGTATTTACTGTGTGTTTATTCAAAATTTGAATTGTTGGTTTTTAACTAGTATTTGATGGCATTGAAATGAAATAATTTCAATATAAAACATACGAATTCTCGCGCGGGCAAATTCAAATTTTAGCAGCCACAACAGCAACAAGATAAATGAGATAATAGGGTCGATGAACGTTATAATTCTATGATATAAACAGCAATATTTCATACCTGAGATCAAATAAGCCTTTGGCAGGATTCGGAGTCACTTATCCAGTAAAAAATATGAGGTAAACCACGCTTTTCCTCGTAGTTTTCTTCAGCGAAATATACTCAAACGAAAAAGTAAAAAATTTGCAAATCACACCTGATATTTGATACACGACATACCACAACTCATTGCGCGCGTGCCTTGTCTTCTAAAATAGATACACCAAAAAGCGCTGCCAATCTATCGCTTGCTTGAAACCGTGTGAAGCATAAATCTGGCCAAAAAATGATCATAAAAAATTGGTGAAAATTCTTATAAGAGAATACTGAAGATAGATTCTCTAAAAAATTATATGCCAATTACCATAAAATTAAAAATTGTAAGGTTTAACGTATCGCATATCATAACATGTGATAGCATGTCATGTCATCGCAAATCTCGGACCATCGATCGATTTCATGGACAAGAACCTACGAGACGTCGCTTAAATCTCGCTCCATATCCGAAACTAGTCGCTGTATTACTATAGTTCACACTGAAGAAAAGTTAGGTAGAAACGTGCACTACTTTGATTGATTGAAACCAGCTAAATATGATAATATATTATCGACTGATTAAGAGTGTAATATTTACAAACATCTGAGTTCTCCGCTAAATTTCAATGATTTACGCATACTGTGTGTAACTCGTTTACTTCTTAACACATTGTTTTGCGTAAAGACCGAAATATTACTCATATTTTTGTGTAACATTACGCGCTTCTTATGTTTACACAATATTATGTGTTGAGTTTACACACATAACTGAGTAAAAAAAATTAACTCAACTTGTGTGTGAATTTACTCAAACTAATGAGTAAATATTTACTCAAAATGTTGTGTAAATGATCAATTTACCAAGTATTTTGTGTTAACTTAACACAATAATTTGAGTTAAAAATTTACTCCTATTTTTGTGTTAAATTTACACAAAAATTTGAGTTGGAAGGAAGATTTTACTCAAAATCTTGTGTAAATTTACACATCATTTTTTGCAGTGAAGGCAATATTAACACGTCCTGTAATTTTTGCAATGGATTTTTAGCGAAATGTTTCCAAACTAAAATTCTATGGAACTTAGAAAGACCGATAATTACTACGGCGCCTGCTTGGCCACCTAGCCTCCTTTACCGTTTGGATTGTCAAAGGGGGGAGGGGTCCAAATAAAAAAAAACACCTATTTCCAGCAACAGCCAGCCAATGAACGCCGCGATACCGACTGTTTACAATATTTGGTATTGCAATTTATCAACAACAAAACACTTTCGATCGATCGATCGTATAGTATAAGATAGAAAGAGAACTGTATACGATCGAAAGAGTTTTGCTGTTGATAAATTGCAATATCAGATTTCAAATACAGTAAACAGTCAGTATCGCCAAACTCGTCCCCAGTCGTTATTTGAATTTCAATTTTATATATAGGGACGAATAGGTATATATATATATATATATATATATATATATATATATATATATATATAATTTGTTATCTTAAAATGTTTCAATTTCTCGCTACTTTAAGTTTCATGCCACTATTTGTGGCAATCTTCAGGCGATTAAATTCAGTTCGTTATAATGGCGTGATCTATAGTTTGCTGACGTGTATGCACCGTCATTATTCGCACGCGCGTTCAAAATTTCCCGCCCAAAATTTCTCGCGATGTCGGCATTTTGCGAATATCTCGGGTCTTTTGTTCAGTGTTAAATGCTTGTTTGCATCCATTATGCAGAGTTTTTCTTCTATGCAGAGATTGCAAGAAAATGAAGAAGGAAGGACATATCCAAAAGGACATTTTTTACTTCTTACAAGTTAATGAAGACATCAAAAATGTTAATTCTTCCAAAAACGTTTTCGTATTCGCTGACAAGACAACTAATGTTTATGAGACTAATCCAGAATCTTATAAAAAACTACTGACAGAGAACATTACAAAAACTTATAAAATTGGTAATAGCAACATAACAGATGATATTAACGAGGAGCTACGGGACATTACTAACAATCTCTCCATCGGAAACCGTGTTGATGTTATGGCTAAACGTAACGCCTTCATTACAATAAAAGATCATAAAGAAAACTTCCCTTCCAATGTAAAATGCCGCCTGATTAATCCATCAAAGAGTGAACTTGGAAAAGTCAGCAAAGTCATCCTTGATAATATCAACAATAACATCCGATCAGCCATAAACGTTAATCAATGGAAAAACTCCAAGTCTGTTATTGACTGGTTCCAGAACATCGAAGGAAAACCCAACCATACATTTTTATCGTTTGACATAGTTAAATTTTATCCTTCCATCACAGAAGACCTCCTTAACCGCGCCATCGTTTGGGCTACAACTTTAACAACAATCCCGGAAGAAGATATTTCCATAATCAAACATGCGCGAAAATCACTCTTGTTTAACAGCGATACAGCTTGGACAAAACGAAGTAGCGATTCATTATTTGATGTAACGATGGGCAGCTTTGATGGAGCGGAGATCTGCGAACTGGTTGGTTTGCTCGTTCTGAGTAAGCTCGCGGAGAAGTTTGGTAAAGAAAATGTTGGGCTATACCGGGACGATGGCCTTGCATTAATTGAAGGAGTTAACGGAAGAAAGGCGGACAAAGCAAGGAAGATGTTACATGACATATTCGGTCAATTTGGTTTGAAGATAACTGCTCAGGTTAACAATCAAGTCGTCAACTTTCTGGATATTACGCTAAATTTGGAAAATGAAAAATTTGCACCGTACAGAAAGCCAAACAACCAACCACTTTACGTTGACAGCCGATCTAACCATCCACCATCCATTCTAAAGCAAATTCCTGTCTCAATTAACAAGCGAATCTCTTCCCTTTCATCTGACCAACAATCCTTCGATGAATGCAAACCTTTCTACGAAAGCGCACTTAAACACAGCAATTACAATGTTTCTTTGGAATATTCACCCAACAGCCCTTCTTCTCCACCATCTACGAAACGAAGGCGCCAAAGAAACATTATCTGGTTCAACCCCCCGTTCAGCAAATCCGTTAAAACCAACATCGCGCGGAATTTCCTACAGCTTCTCGATAAACACTTCCCACCTACAAGTCCTTTGCACAAAATATTCAACCGTAACACAGTCAAAGTGAGCTATAGCTGCATGCCTAATGTAAAGAGCGTTATATCTCGCCACAACAATTGCATCCTGTCAAAACCCACAACCACCCCACCAACATCAGATAATTGCAACTGTAATAACCCGAGTGAATGCCCTATTAAGAAGAACTGTAAATCTAAAAACATTATCTACAAGGCCCAAGTTACATCACCCGACGACGGTGTCATGAAAGAGTATATAGGAATGACGGCGACTACTTTCAAAGAACGATATGGAAATCATAAGAAATCCTTCAAACTCCAAAGATATAAAAACGATACAGAGCTGTCAAAGTACATCTGGGGGCTAAAGAGTAATAATAAAGATTACACCCTAAAATGGTCAATTCTGAAGCGGGCAGGCGCATACTCATCTGGTGCAAAGCGTTGCAATCTCTGCATAGAAGAAAAACTCTGCATAATGGATGCAAACAAGCATTTAACACTGAACAAAAGACCCGAGATATTCGCAAAATGCCGACATCGCGAGAAATTTTGGGCGGGAAATTTTGAACGCGCGTGCGAATGACGGTGCATACACGTCAGCAAACTATAGATCACGCCATTATAACGAACTGAATTTAATCGCCTGAAGATTGCCACAAATAGTGGCATGAAACTTAAAGTAGCGAGAAATTGAAACATTTTAAGATAACAAATTAATTCGCTCTGCTAAATAATTTGTAGTATTGAGCACTCTTTTATCTATAACGAAAAACAAAACTGTTTATATATATATATATATATATATATATAGATCAGTACCAAATGTGGACGCGCGCAAGAGGAAAAGGGAAGGCGAGGGAAAAATAACGACTGGCAGATTACAGAGACAAAATGGCGGACAATTTGACAACAAAAGAGGAAAGACTATTTTAATATACACCACAGAGCGTTTTTAGCTGATAAACTCCCTTGTCCGCATGAGGAATGTCAGTATAATTTATCTTGCTATGATCAAGATGGTTTAGACCACCATTACAGGACAATCCATAAATGTCCTGTAACCTGTTATTTCAGGCTTTCAGCTAATTGGTGATATTAAAATTTAAAAGGCGAAAAGTCTTATTGTGCCAGATAACTGAGAGAAGCACTCAAAGGAAACACTGTCATGTTTGGAAAAGCTATCGATTAACAACCAATCGAAGGTATTCGTAAATCTAGAGTGTTGAATGCCTTTAATTGGAGCCAGCGAGCAATATAAAACAGGTTGGTATTTTATTCAATTTTTTTTATGCTTTTATATCTTTATATTTCACGATGAAATGCACTCTTAAACTCTTTGGATTATAAAGAAAACAGCTTTTTGCTGGGGGTTTTTTTGCAACCTGTGTATTTCACAATTTGGTTGCTGAAGCTACAAATTTTTGTTATTTATAAATTACTTTATAAAGTGCTATTAACTCCAGGTTTTGTGTAATATGATTATGTGCCAACTTAAAACTTTGCATACAAGGCTATTAAATCAATGACAAGACTTTTGGAGCATTCAAATATTTCCCAAAATACCTGTAAATAACAAAATATAGCCCCCCCCCCGTAACTAAATGTTGCTGTATGATGAAAAGACGTTACATTGTTTATTAACAACACATTGTTGGGCACAGGGTTGTAGGGATAATATAGAAGCTCAGGTGGCACATAACTCCTATCATAGCCTTAATTAAACAATTTGAAAAACCAGAAATACAGTATCAATGCACTGAGGCCAATCTGGCAATTACTTCTAACTATGTTCTGACAATCCTTGCACTCATAGTCTTTGAAATGATAAGGTAATTTCTACCTTGTATCATGGCCAACGTTTAGGGCCACTTTCGGTGCCTTAGCAAGCTCGATAATTGGGGGAGGCTCATATTCATATATTATATTCGTGAGTATGAATATATGAATATGAGCCCCCCCCCCCTATTATCGAACTTGCTACGGCACTGACTTTTGATTGTTATACCATTAAGTCTGATAATTGCACCACCAATGGTTCTGGTATCTCTTGTTTTT